CATTCTGTGATTCTATGATCTTGGCCATAGCAAGTCATAGGCGGGTACTTGAGTTTTTACCGAGTATTATTCTCTTCCAGGTATTTAATTAAGTCTTAATAATTTAATAGCCAAACCAGAAACAAACTATTTTTGAATAACCCGCCTTCAGAATTCCCTCTTTCTATTTTCTAACTTTTCATGTTTCCAGTACCAAAATTTTGTGAGGGCTTCATCTGTGTATGAGAAGAAAGTACTTTGTCAGCTACAGATCTGTTGATTGACCTGAAATTAGATGCGAGTTTTGGCAACTGTGGGTGTGTGGTTTTGGTTTTGTGTCTTTGTGCACCCCAAGATCACCAATTTTATGGCTGTAACCCTTGAGTGAAGGATGAACCATTGTCCCCCTCTGCTGGTGGTGCGCCTGGCTGGGGATTTGTTCACCCTGCCAGCCCCCCCCAGTTACTCTGCGACTGAAACAGAGTTTTAAGAAGGTGGCAGGTATGTGTGTGTACTTGGGTCGGGATTTTCAGTGAGCAGAGAAACCTTTTGCTTTAGGGAGTGCTCAAAAGGCTATAATGCATCAGCTTTTGAGGCATGGCGTTACCAAGTGGTGTCTCAAGAACAGCCGTCCTACCTTTCCCTAAATATTTTGCAGCGTGTCTATCACAAGAGACTGCTTCCACCGTGGGAAACAAATCAGGTGAAGAGAAGGTATGCTTTGAAAAAAGGTATGCTGTCCTGTCGGTCAGACTGCTCCCCACAGAGACTGAGTGTATCCCTGTGTCCTACGTTGTGTCCCCTGGAGCAGTGCTGCCCCAGGAGGATGGGATAAGTGTTGGGGAGCGCGGTGAGGGTGAGCAAGGGGAGCTGCTTGTGCTGGAAGAGACTGGTGGAGCATGGCACAAGCCAAGCAGAATGCAGTCTGAGAAAGGATCCGGCTGGTATCTGTGAGTTCATGGGGGAAACACTCCTGAGGGAGGGCGATAGTCTGCAGGAGATACACAGAAAGAGTAGTCCGCAAGTGTCGAAGGATAAAAATCCCCTCCAGATTTCTGAGGTGAAGCGTGAGGACTGTGCAAGGTGATGCCTGAGTTTGCAAGAGATGGGATGTAAAGGCCATGGGGAGCTCTGTGGGGGGGCTCTGGGGTCTGTGGGCAGCCTTGCACAGGGGCCAGCCACACGCAGCCTGTACGTGCCGCAGGAGTGGGGCTGGAGACGCGAAGGGCTGCCGTAATGCCGACCTGGCTCTCACCCGGGGCTGGGACCCGTGCGTACGATGGTAATACCGGGTGCACTGGTGAGAGGTGCTGCTGCTGGGGTGGAGCAGGGATTTGTCTTGTTCAAAGGAGGCTTTGGAAGCTTACGGTGCATTTAAAAAAGGTCAATTCCCTGAGCGTGGGAATATCTGAAAAACTCGTTAGTAAATGGTAAGTTAGAGATTGGAGCGTTTGGTTCATCCCAGAAGCGTGTATCGTAAATGAAGCAGCACTTAAGTCTTCTGTATTCTGAGAATTGGTGCCGTGGTTAGCAACAAGGGTACAAACTATTAAACAAAACCAAAGAACGCTGTGTTGAAAACCAAGTTTTGATTTAGGAATCTGCAAGAAGGCAATGGTTTTATATTTCCCCTCACATTTTAAAACGTCTGGACAATCTTTTTAATATTATGCCCACACAAACATTAAAATATATTGAGTTTCAGTTATAGGAGACTTTGTTTAAAAGGGAGTGTTTTCAGTTACATTAAAGCTAATATCTGTAACCTTTTGCATTCAAATTTTCTGGTGCTGTGCAGAAATAATTGCTGGCTTGTCTGCGTGTTCCAGTAATGCTCTCAATTACTACTTCCCCGTATTATCGCTGGGGGAGTGTGTCTGACAACTCAGATTTGGCGTCCAGGTGGCACGGCTGGAGGCTGCGTGCAGTTTAATTGTAAACGTGCGCTGTGCTGTTCAGTGTTGTCTTTTTCTATGATAGCATCACATTTGCTGGGCACTTTACAAGCACGAGGGAACCTTTTTGGCAGTGTTGGTTTTCCAGACTAAGCCTAAGGCTTTGTAGGGCAATACTCATTGAAGTCTGCTATATCAGGTTGCGGCCTAATGCAGAGGAAGAGGAAAAGGTGGGATGGAGGATATAAATGGAGGAGTCTGTCAGCCTCAGATGAGTGATGGGCAACACTTACCAAAGCAGTAGCACTGTCATGCTTAGTTTAGACACATCTTGTCACAGTTAGCTTGCTGTCGCCCTGAATTAGCGACTACTCCAGGAGAAGGAGGTGGGATGCTTACCCTTTGAGACCGTGAAGCTGTGGCTGATGGACTGTGAGGTTGGAGCAGAGAGTCTCTCTGGAGATGCAGAACAGAGTCCCACATCCCACATCTCTTCAAGAAGCCCAGACTCTTTCCTCATCTGCTCATTCCCATGCCAATGGGAGAGGAGCAGCCTGTCCGCCTTTGGACAGGAACATACAGGCATGCCTTTCAAGCATGCCAGCTCTTCGGCTGATGCTTCACACTCTGCCATCAGGACTGGGACTAGGGAGATGTCTTAATCGACGTCCCCTCTTTCCCCACCTGCTTCTTCAGCATCCTGTAGCATCTCGTTGATTTTACAGCCCTGGTATCAGACGAGACTTTAAATAGAGACACTGTCACACCCCCCATTAAAAAGATAGAATTGATATTTTCCTGATTTGCTTCAGGTCATAAGATGTAACTTTGGGTGGGAGTAGTTTTGCAAACCATCCCAGAATACTGAGGTGGTTTGTGGTGTTAGATAAGGCTTAAAATAAAAGTAAGCTCTTGGAGAAGACTGCTTCTTTGGTGTCACAGGAAGGGTTGTGATGAGAATGACACCAAACTGATGACTGATGCTCTGAAAATATGAAAAAACCCCAATGAATGTTTTTTGTTTGCGTCTCAGCCGATGCACCCAGGGGGTCAAAGCAAATCAGTGGAGTTACACAGATCCTGGATCCTTGCTGTGTGTCTTTGGTTGAGACTAGATCCGGATCTCTGTTACATAATGGGAAGATTCCCTCGGATTACAAGTGGCATTTTATCAGCCTGACCATGTATTTTGTGCCTCGAACTGTACAAAGCCATTCCTGACGATGATGATGTGTTTTTTTTCTCAGCCAGAGGCAAGGAGCTCTTGGAGAGCGTGAAGATAATCCCTTTTGGTTGTGTAGAGGAGCAGACAGTCACATAAATGCAGGTTTGTTGGCTTTTGAGGTTTGGTTGGTTTGTTTGTTTTTCAGTGGGGTGGATTAAAATCGTAAACTATAGAATTGGTGGTTTGGGCTTCTGTTATTAATTGAGCTAGAGCTTAGTAAAACCTGGAACACAGACCCCTAATACCCAGAGTGTGTGTTCATCTAATTCCTTTCTGCTCTTTATTTAAGCACTGGGTATAAAACACAACATGCATTTCCTTTCGAGTCAGAGCTGTCTTGTGTGCATTCTTGGCAGTCTAAAAGATGCAGCATTAAACCTGCTTCGTGCTACTCTTCCGTTCTGGGGTCAGAGCAAAGTATTAATAAAAAATAACTCCCATAAAGCTTATTTCACCATCACACATTAAGTATCAGGAGTTAAAAAAACAAAGGGTGTCAGGAGTGAAAACTAACAGAAAAATATTTAGCTGTTAAGGAGATTGTAAAAATAGAAGCAACTGGGTTTTTTTAAAGGAAATATAAATTGTACTGTTTATATTACCCAGCCTCAAGTATGGTTTTTCAGCCAGTTAGGTGCTTAGGGATGTGAAAGTTATTCCTGTATAGTGAGAATTCTTCTAGAACAACTGTTAAACCACCAGAACAGAGGGGAATTACTTGGAATAGAGCTACCAGGAGCTAAATCATGATTGAGAACTTATTTTTTTCCCCCTCATTTGTGAAAAGTACTGATTGTGAATGATGAGGCTCCCAGTGGTGCAGACTTTGAGAAGTGCTGTCCCTCGCCCATCTTCGTGTGCAGTGGCCTCAGTAAGCAACGGGTCTGTGTTCTGACAAATACTCCAACTCTTCCTCAAATTTTCCTTACCTATTTTTCCTGTACTTCCAGTATCTAAATGTAAAAGAAGATTGCAAAGCCATGGCTTTCTGTGCAAAAATGAGGAGCACAAAGAAGAGCGAAGTAAACCTGGAAGCTCAGCATCAGGGTTTAGAAATACTTTTCTACCTGCAAGATAAAAATCCCATTTGCTACACCAGCGGCGAGTTTACCTCGGAGGAGCTGTGCATCGAAGCTGCCCAGAAGTGTTGTGAGTATATGGATTTTATACGTTCTCAGGGGCAAGCCCAGCAGTATGGAAAGTGATGCGTGTAAGTCTGCGTGTAAGTCAATGCTTGTAGACAAAATTTGCTCATTACGTGGTCCAGGAGGGGAACTTTTGCCAAGGGTCTGTTTGGGCAGCTCTTAAACTGCTCGAAGTGGCTGGAATGGTGGGAGAGACTGGCTTGAGATGTGTATAAAGCGATGATCTCCTAGTTTCTGGCGGATACAGGTACTGTTTTTTTGATTTGGGTAGGATGATTCGGTTTCTTTCAAGAGAAGAGGAGACCCCATATACACATAAGGTAACACAAAGCTGGCTTTACCTCGTGTGCTGGTTGGTGAGCCTGGCAGGATCTGTCCCGTGTGAGAAAACACTTAAGAGAGGGCTAATTAAAAAAAACCCAAGCCAAACTCCATTTGCTACTTTTCTGGTTTTAGTTTTCTGTTACTTGGCACTTCACTGCAGAGTTAGGATGTCTGTAGTACTAATAATTCACCTGCTCAGATGACTTAGCAGTTATCTTGGCAGTTATTTGGACTGTGGGCACTTGCGGTAATACATAAATGTGTAACAAAGGTTTCTTGCTTTGTCACTGTGGCCCTTGACTCAGCAAAATATTTGAATATCTATCTAATTCTACTGCAGTGAGTGGATTTAATCTGTGCTCGAGCCTCATGAACCAGTGTACTTTTATTTCTGAAGTTACTTCCTGCCTTGATCCCAATTTTTTGTTCCCCAAGCTTCATGGAATGCTAAATATTGTTTAGCTGATACGAGAGTGGTGAATCTGGCTGTATAAAGAGGCAAACTCGGCATCAGTTCTCCTGCAGCTTTAAAATGTTTTCTTTTCCCATGTCATCCTGGTTCTTGTAACGTTGAGGACCCTTCCGTTCATTTGCCTAATTGCTTCTCTTGCGTTGGAAAGGCAGGGATGATGGGAATCGGAAGGACAAACCTCATCAAATATGTACACCAGCTGGTTTTGAATGGTTTCAGTGAACATGAGGAGTACTTAAACCCCACCTGTTTCTGTCAGCATGTAAGAGCTGTGAACTGCTCTTTGTACGGGTGTGAACCCACAACCTGCGCAACTCCTCCCAGTCAGTTCTGTTGGAAATGTAAAGCCTTTGAAGAAGGATTTTTCTACATTCTCTCGCTTTTCCCTAAATCCACAGCACGTGGTAGTGGAGTACGAAAGCCTTACCCCTCTCAGCAAGCCTGCAATGCTGGTCTCTGCTGTAAATCACGGCTCGACTAGTTAAACCGTTGATGGCAGCTACGCACTGCTTGTTCACCTGCAGACGGCAGCGGCTGCCCAACCCCACCTTCTCTGAACTTTGCAATTAGGCTGTTCGGCTTTTATTTCCTTGGCTTCTCTCTTCCCTTCTGCTCTCTCTCCCCAAGTCACAGCAGAAATAGTTTCGTTGGGTTCTGCAGGACCCCAGCAAAGTGCTGGGCAGTTGGTCCGGTTTTAGAAAGCCGCTGAAGCGCGTGCCGAGGTGCTCTGTGCAATAGAGCTGCCTGCCTGAGCAGGGCTTTTGCAAAAGGTACTGCCTCCTGTTGAGCAGGAGACCGTCAAAGAACGCTCAACCTGTCAACGTACCATCCTGTTTTTACTCTGGGAAGTTGCGAATGCAAAGGTTACAGCAGATCAGCCTTAGGCATACAAGTCCAAGTCTGTTCTTTGTTGGAAAACCCTCTTGAATTAGGAAAGAATGGAAAAATGACACGTTATGCTTTTTCTGCCTGTTTGCTAATGAGAGGTGGATTTGCATCGTTGCACTAAAAACAATGCTTTCAGCTATGGAGTAAAATTTATTAATAAAATAAAGCTGAGAACAAAGTTGTGGTTTGGTTAAAACACCCATTTCTGTCATCTGGAAAAGTGAAGATTAAGTCGTTCAGACCTTTGGCAAAATCAGGATTTCAGAGTAACGTTACGAGCAGTTGAAATGATATGCTTTTTAACAGCTGATAAAAGCAGTGGAGTGAACCAGCACACAGTTTGCAGTTCCAATTCAACCGTGACTTTCTAATGTTTGTTTTAAACTAATCCTCGGTGGTTTCTTTTTAGGGTACATTTTGCAAGGTCAGATAGTGGCTTTGTGCGTGCATATTTTTGGGGTGTGCGTATGTATATGCCTTGTGATTCATACCTTTGTTTACTTTTCTCTGACAGCTATATCTCCTCTCTGCCATAATCTCTTTGCTCTGTATGATGAAAACAAGAGACTCTGGTATGCGCCAAACCAGGTCTTTAAGATAGAGGAGAAAACATCTCACCGGCTCTATTATCGAATGAGGTAAGTGCAGAACGTCTGAGAAATGATGCCTTACTCGTGTGTAGGTGCTCGAACTCGTACCGTAGAACTCACTGAAGAAGCAGGAAAGCAAAACCAAATGAAGCAGCGTTCTTTGCACAGCACAGTTAAGAGATTAACAGGCAAAGCTTAAAATGTCTCCTGATGTTTTTTAAATCTTGCTATATAACCTTGAAAGAAGCCCCAGAAGTTGAAAAAACCCACAAGAACCAGTATCCACAAAGCAGTAGGTGACTAAAGTAGCTAAAAGCTGAATTGAAAAAAAAAAATGGTGGTTTATGATGTCAGTATTTCGCATGTTTCAATTTCCATTTGAAGTGTTGAAAGGGAACCCTGCTCCTGAAAAAAGGGAATTTCACTGTTAACGTGAAAGGAAAAGCAACATGTGGTTGCTTTTGCCATTCTCCTGTGGAAATGTAGAGGAATCCATGTTGCCTTGCTGCAGGTGGCGTGCCCTAGGCTGGAGAACGCATCAGAAAACAGAAGCCCTTGTTCCCAGGACCTTTATCTGATGTGTGCCATCAGGTGGAACTTTGGGTGACATTCTTAAAATACAGCACGCGGCCTGTTGAGATTTCTGGGGCTGGACGGGTGCCCCAGCCCTCATCCACTGGAAAATGAAAGCCATAATGCTGGAAAGGGTTGAGCACTCTCACCTACTCTCGCTAAAGGAAGGGTGTTCTCCTTTTATGCTGCCTTGTCTGATTTTTATTCCGACTTTTCATCTTGCATCGATACGAGCTTTAAGTGTATGATGTGTATGATATTAAAATATATGGAATAAGCTTTGTTTCCAGGAATAATTAGTCTACAAAACTTCACCCATCTTCCTAAAGCAAGTCCACTGATCATTTTTGTTCGTTTTCGAGGTACAACTGTAAGAAAATAAGCTTCTAATAATAGTACCTTTTTGCCTTAAAATGTAACGCTCCATCCATGGTGAGTTTGGGCTATAGAGAAAAAAGCTTCAGGTTGTAATACAGCTGTCTGCATTTTAGCATCCTTCTTCTTAGAACCTCTTTTGGAACAGCCTGACTGTCGTTTGTAGGTGCGAATGAGAGAACTGGCACATGTAAACTTCAGGCTGTGCATCCCAACCATTTTCTAGGCTTGTTAGAGCGTAGCAGCCGCTTGAGTTTTTTTAGAATACAAGAAGAGAGTTTTGAAAATGTGATCTTTGAGCTGTAAGGTAGTTCAGCTCTGGTTACATTTGTGTCGGACTGCAGTTGCTGTTGGATGAGCTGTTACACACAAAAAATCAACAAAAAAGGCCTTTGCTTTTCAAATAACGATAATACTGATGCCTGTTTTTAGGAGAGGATATCGTAGTCTTTTCTTTTTTCTTTTAACACAGACTATTAGTGGTATTAATGACTTAACCATAGCTAATCTCAGCTTTAAACAGCTGTGATTAAGTTTGGCAGATAAACACCGTACAGTAATGGAATTGAGTGACTCTGAAAGAAGCTGTGAGGATTCTCATGGCCTCCTACAGAGCATTAAGTGCCCCTTCTTGCTTTAAGAGATCAGTCAGATTAACCGTACACTGGATAATAAAATATCTTGGGATCCTGTGGATCAGGGGCGTTTTCCCCTGACGCTGAAATCCTTTGTTGTGTGCTTTTCTCAGTAAAAGAAGGTGCTATTTTAAAAATGTTGTGGGATTTTAATCCTATGATTAGAAGTGTGATGCTGTTTTTAACTCAGTTCTTAAAAGACAGATTCTGTTGTGTTTGGTGTGTGTGTTTCTGCTTTGGGTGAGTGATGAGAGCCCTCTCCAGGTACTCTTTTGTTCCTGCTGCGTTTTACCTGCATGGTGGGTAACACCACCTTTAAAACTGCCCAAACCGCTCCCTCTTACAAATCTTCTTTGGCTGTTCACATCTCTACCCAGTTTTGGGTATATTGGCAAAATTGCTCTACACTGAATTTTACTTTCTGGAAATTTTTCTGTTCTGGTGTTTTATAGAACAAAGCTGTGGAAAATGCCCTGCTTTCTGTATTTAGAAGTACTGGTAGTTTATTTTGTTAAGCTTTGGAGCTGGGGTTTGAAGTTTGGCAGGGGTGTCTCTTCCTCAGATGGACTTCATGCATGAAAATTGGCAAACTTTGGGCCAATAATCTCTATTTAAAATAATTTCATACGCATTTAAGAAGAAACCATATGAGTTACGCTAAAATCTAAAGATTCCCATCTCCCTAGGAATACCAGCGTGTGTTGGTGGAGTTTTATTTCCCTGTCTTTCATTTCTGACCTACTGTGGCCCTTGGCTTGGCCATCTGAACCGAGAGCCAGGCAGAGCGTTGAAAAATCATGGCCAAGACAGGGTTGTGAAACTGTTCTCTGAGTGAGTTTGTGTATTCTGAGCTCTGCAGGCGGCAGAATTCCTCGTGAAAAAGGAGAATGGTCTGGGCTTATTTAACAGTGCAGTGTACTAGGCTGTATATAATCCTTTAGAGACTCAATCATTTTTATGTGGACATCCTTATTTCTGAAATAAGGTTTGGTTTAGTCACGGCCCAGTGAGATTATATATGTAAAACAAAGGTACGGGACTGAGCAGCTTCAAACCCTTTTAGATGTTGGATTTTTCTCCCACTGCTGAAAGCTTTAGGTTTGATTTCAGTTGGGGTGGACTTCCCACCCTCCTTGTCTCCCCATCAGATCTGTGCCAGTTGGTGTGTTTTAGGTAATTGTTTAAAAGGACTTGCTTTTCACTAGAAACTTTGTAACTAGCCCCATATTTCTTTCACTTCACTCAGAATAAATAAAATACAGCAGTCTACAACGTGTAAGAAACCACAGTGTTTTGTAATATCCTGGACTAATTGGCACACCAGCTGATGGAGGAGTTTAACTGTTCCGTAGCTGGTTGTGGTTGAGCAGAGGTGGCAGCGTTTCTTGGCATGGAGAAGGGAGCCAGGACACGTGTTTCTAGAAACTCGGGAAGGAAGGACTGTTGGAGCTGCTCTAGGTGAAAGAGGGCAGGAGGTCCACCACTCCTTGCCCAGATGGAATGGGTGAAGTGCAAAACTGCTCCTTCTGGGGGTGACCTGTTTGGGCTGATTCCCCAAATCCTCCCCACAGGCTCTCACCCCTGCCAGGTGCCTGCCCTGGGATAATGTGCTCTAAAGGAGGGGCAGGTCATGCTCCTGAAACGCCGGAGCACGGAGTCTCCTTTGCAGCTCGTCTGCAGGACTTCTGAATGGGAAAGCTTGTGCTCCTGTGTTTGTGAGGGTGGAACAGTGATCATCTGTCTCCCTCTTCGCTCAAGTCCATCCGTCTCTCCAAGGCACGGACTCTCCTTTATTCATGTGGTTCCTCAAACAATGGGGCTCTTATTTTTTTATTGTAACTAGTAAGTGTCTTAATCAGTGCAGTTTAATTGTACAACCAATACACAATACCTTGCCCATAATTATTTTCAGGAAATACCAAAAGAATTGGATTTATTAATTATCACTCATCTTATAAAGGAACATACGGAAACCAAGTAATTTCCTGGAGGCAGAAGGATTTGCTTTCCATGCTTCAACCAAAGGAGTTCTGCCGTGTCTTACAGTACTGGTCAGGAGTTTTTGGCATAGTTGTGTGTTGCTGTTCCTACTCATGCTATAGATAGATGCATTTAGGGGACAAAAAGACTTAGCTAAAAGAAAGGATGGACAGAAACACAGCACAGAAAGTGTCACTTCTTAAAGGGTAATTTGATTTATAATTCTTTATTTGAATGGTCAACTTACTGTGTAGATAACACGTGTGATCAAAACACACGGTGCTGACCTAAAAGCACTAATTTTGGTTTGCTCTTTAAGATCCTGACTCCGCACTGAGGCTGATACGCACCAACCTCAGCTGCTGCAGAACTGGGGCTTAATCCATGAACCCCCATTCTAGTCAGAGACCAATCAGGATACCATCACATACATTTTTTTGCATGCGGGTTGTCCGGCACCGCGATGTTTGTAAGCATCTGCCAGTTGACTTACTGCCTGCCTGCTGTCATCCTTGTCTCCCACGACATGTCTCTTGCAGCTTTTATTGTGTTATAATTGAAATGAGAGTGCTTGGGCAACAGTGATTTGTTATTTAAACAGATTTGTTATTTGTAATCTCAAAATGTGTTTGCAGGTTATAAGGTAGTTTATCTATTCAGCTTTTTCTTTCAGTACAGAAAATGTGTATTTCCAGTTCAGGACTTGGATATATCCATCGCATGCCTCAGTGTTTTCTACCTAAACCTTAGGTTTTTCCCACTCACCTTCTCTTTAATACTTCTTTTCATGTGCACTGTCTTTTACCATTCACATTCATTTGTCTTTTTCTTGCGTAAAGCCGTTTGATCTCATTTTGGTCACAAAAAGTGTTTATGATTTTGCTGATCACCTGTTTAGGTAGACATTAAAAGCTTAGTTGTCGAGTTGCCATGGCATTGTGAAACGAATGGTGTGACAGGGTGCTCACTGCTTATCAGAAATGCCTGATTCCACACCTCCCTTTGTGTTAATGCAGTACTGTATATATGCACACGCACCAGGCAGTAATTCTGCTAGTGCTGAATGCTCCTCTGGAGTTAGATGGACATATTCTTACAGAAATCCTTCCTACTCAGCAGTTGGGTAAATGTGCCCTGCTGAAACCTTTTAATTGTCATGCGCAAGGCATGAACCTTTGCAGAAGACACACTGAGTCCGACCAGATTCACCTAAATTTTACTTGAGTTAAAATGTTACTAGAACCCAGATAAACACAGACCTCTGGAATAATTTAGGAAAAGATTTCTCAGAAGGTGCTAACAGAGGCTTGAACTCCAGAATTTCATTTCTTTTCAGCAGATGCCAACTCCTTCAGCAGGTTTTCAGTTAAACAGCCTTGTGTGCAGGTACAAGTGAAAGCTTGTTTGCAATATACACAGAGGATTGACCCTGTCCTCTTCAAACCAGGTGATTTGAATTAGTGTCTTTTTCACTGGCTCCATCTGAAACCATGGGGAAGCAGAAATTCCAGGGAGTGAGGCATAGCACTGCTTCCCACTCCTCTGGCTGAGGGAGAGGTATTCTCAGCAGTTCTGTCCTACACATCGCTTCGGTGCCTGTAGAGGAGGAGGTCGGAAGTCTTGTTAGCCCTTGAGATGAGCCATTTTATCTTGGAATGCAAATGCCCACCATTGCACAGCAGAACCATAGAACTGTTTGGGTTGGAAAAGCCCTTTAAGCCTACCCAGTCCAACCATTACCCCAGCACTCCCGCGCCCACCACTGACCCCTGTCCCTCAGCACCTCGTCCACACGGCTCTGAACCCCCTCCCAGGATGGGGACTCCTCCCTCCCTGGGCAGCCCCTTCCAATGCCTGACAGCCCTTTCCGGGAAGACATTGTCCCTGATATCCCATCTAACCCCCCCCCCGGCACAGCTTGGCATTACACTCTCTCACACTGCTCAAGCCATGTCAGGGGTGATGGAAACGTAATTGTTACCCGAGTGGTGGCTTCTTGTTCCATGGACTGCGCTGGGATGTGATGGGCAGTCAGGTGCGATATCGTGAGTTGAGCATGAGAGACCCTTGAGTGGAAACACTGGCGACCTTTGACCAGTAACACCATTTTTCCCCAGTTCCTCAGGCCAGGCCTACAGTTTCAGCAGTGGATCACTTCAAGTTGCAAACTCAAGTCAGAAAATTGATGGATTTTGACTTGAAACTGGTTTTCTTATGAAAGTTTAAATTATGCGTCTAATGTAAACGGAGGATTTCCCTAAAAGTTTTTAAAGTTTATCCCTCTTTTCTTGCCAGATACTACTTCACAAACTGGCATGGGACTAGTGAAAACGAACCCTCAGTGTGGAGGCATTCGCCGAGGAAGGCAAAGAACGCCTACGAGAAGAAGCTGGGGCCAGAAGGAACCCCCATACTTGATGCAAGCTCATTAGAATACATCTTTGCACAGGTAAGAGGTAGCTTGCTCGTCTCTGCCACTGGAGCCACACAAAAAACTATTTGATCCAAGGGAAGCTGCTTTAAAGACCTGATTTTAAACTTTTAAATTACGTGTAACCTTGCCTGTGTGTTCTTCATACTTTTGCACGGTGGAGAGAACTTGCTACACGAATAGCAACCTGCCCATATGCAGAACTTGTGAAGGAACTGCCTGTCTCGCAGTCCAGAAGGGGCTGTGTTTTTATAGCATGCTTTTTTAAAATACTGAATACTTTTGGATATGAATGCTATCACCTTTTCCTTAGCGAAACGTTTGCGCATGATGACTTCTACATCTGTGTTCCTAGCAATATTATTAAATGGACACCACACAGTCAATTTTTGAGTGTCTTTACTGCGTGGTGTGAAAACACTGACTGCTGGCACCACTGCAGTGCGGTTTTCCTTTCCTTCCCTTGTGCCTCCCGCTTGCTGGCGGCACACGCACCGTGCTGGACGCGGCAGGTAGGCAGCGTCCCCCTTACAGGAAGCTTGTGCTCTTCTACAAAGGAGTTTATATACCCACAAACGATTTTGCAAACAAGAAACTGTCTGGTTTCGCCAAAAAATGAGAAGTTTGAAGTTGATGAACTTCGTGAAATGAGCAAGTGAAATTCACTGGAGGAAAACATGTTTACTGTTGAATTCTGAGTATAATTACTGCAGAAGTTGCAGAACTTGAAATGTCCTTCAGAAAAAGAGAGTGTGCAGCTGCCCCAGTGAATACTACTTTTGTTGTGAAACCACAGTAAAAGAAAATACCAAGATTTCTGCGCGATCCAGCTAACTTAGACCTTGTTTTGTATGAACGTTCTCGTGTGCCTGTATGCAGCTCTGCAAAATCACCAGCTGAAAACATGCTGCAAAACGGGGTTTTGTCCTCGTCCATCCCTCCTGTTTGTCTGTGCCCCCCCGCCCCTTTTTGTGTGTCAGCAAGAAGAGTGAAAACACCTTTTAAGTTGCAGAATGAGTAGGAACCCTGATGGATATTGTAAGACCATATTGCACTGGGCAGGATTTTATGTTCGGGTAACAACACTTAGAGAAGCCCAACGGCAGAACACCAGTGCTCCTGTAAGGCAACAGAAATGTCTGTGCTCTGTGGCAACCAAACACTTTTCAGGCTGTCCCAGGGCATGGTGGCTGCCACGGGGTTTGCAGTCTTGGCTCTGGGACGTGGCTTAGAGCCCGGAGTGCATGGGGATCATAGAGACATGACGGTGCTAGGTGGGAGCAGGGTGGTGCTTCCTTGAGTTAATTACAGAGAAGGGGAATTTTTCGTGAGCTGATGTATAAAAGAAGGCGCTGGGGGTTTTTGGAAGAGCCTGAGCGGTGTAGGTGTTCTGCTTGGGGTGTCTGCACGTTGGTGAAAGCCGTGGCGCTGTGATGATCCACGTGGTGATTCCAGTTCCACAAACTGGCGTTTTGAGAGTTCTGTCAGGCACAAACGTTGGTGTTTGTTCTTAAACAGGCAGGGGGTGTGGGGTGAATAGTGCTTGCCCGTGTTTCTGTTTCACTGGTCTAAGAGAAGCTGGCACGTATGGCACAGCTTTTCCTGTCTTCTACCCTTTCCTGTCCTGCCTTTCAGTTTTGGGTGACGACTCTTGCTCGAGGAGAGCCTGTGATCTTGTGACATACTGGTTGTTCGTAGATAAACTATGACAAATACCAAAGCTTTCTCTTTTTGCTTCCTGTGAAGGGTCAGTATGACTTAGTAAAAGGCCTGGCACCAATCCGTGATCCTAAAAACGATCAAGAGGTTCACGAAATTGAAAACGAATGTCTGGGGATGGCTGTCCTTGCGATCTCTCACTATGCCATCAAGAAAAATGTGAAGCTTCCCGAGCTTCCCAAGGATATCAGGTAAGTTGGGGTACCTTCTTTGTCACTGGTGGGTCTGCTGCACTTCCCTTCAGAAGGGATTTTAAGCGTTTTACCTTCCAGGATCTGAATGTGCAGATCCAAGCTCCAACACCACTGTTGCTAAGCAGATCTGATCTTGTCAATAGGAAAATGTATTAGAAAACCTGAAATTTGTCTTCCCTGGAGAGTATCTGAAATCTGTGCTGGTGGTGCAGCCAGCGTAGTGCTGTGTCAGGCACCAGCTGACTTGCTGTAAATCCAGGCTCTGGGTTGGTAGGTCCAGAAATGGCAGCGTTATGTGGCAACCTAATGAGAAAACTCTTGCGATAAATGATGTTATTGATTTGAGTGGGCTGTATCCATCCGCCTGAAAAGCTTTCAGATAAAGCTGTTACTGGAATTCCTGTTGGCTATTCACGCTGTAAACCACTGCTGCAGTGCCAACTGCATGGGGCCTTACTGCATCTTGTTCTCTGTAAATAAGGCAGTTGCAGGTTTTAGAGAGTTAAAAGTTTAGGAGACTACAGTACTAACTCACAGCACTGGTTTTCCTTCTAGTTATAAACATTATATTCCCGAAACTTTGAACAAGACAATCAGACAGAGGAATTTCTTAACCCGGATTCGGATAAATAATGTTTTCAAGCATTTCCTTAAGGAGTTCAACAACAAAACCATTTGCGACAGTAGCGTGTCTCCACGTGATCTGAAAGTTAAATACTTATCAACAATGGAGACCTTGACTAAACATTATGGAGCAGAAATTTTTGAGACTTCCTTTTTGCTGATTTCATCTGAGAACGAAATAAATAGATTTAATTGCGGAGACGGTGAGATCCTCCCACTGTACGAAGTCATCGTGACAGGAAACAATGGAATTCAGTGGAGGCTCAAGCCAAATGTAAGTATCCCTCGATAAATGGGAATTGGAGGATTGCTTTTGGGGGCATAACGGCTGTTAAAAAAAGGGCACGATCTTCAGACACTGCAGATGGAGTTTTTATTGAAAGGACTTACCGTAGGAAAGGAGGAAGGGATTATAGGATTATGCTGGTTGGAAGGGACCTCAGGAGGTCTCTAGTCCAACCCCCTGTTGAGGGTTAGCTTTGTCATCAGACCAGGTAGCTCAGGACTTTATCCAGTCTGGCCTTAACAGCTTCCAAGGGCGGACACTGCACAACTTCTGTGGGCAGCCTCTTCACCAGGAAAACGGAAGACTCTCTGCCAGCCCAGACCCAAGTCGTGAAAGATCAATGCCTGTGGAGGCCCTCAGGGCTCGGTGCTTCGTCTCCATACCCAAGGCTGTTAATGTTTTTTCTGTGTACGGTACCCCAGGTGCCGTGTTTGCTCCTACGCACAGACCTTGCGTGAATAAATTAAAATAGAGTGAGAGTACAGCTAAGCTTTCTCACGTCAGTGCTATTTTACACCTTCCCTGTTTCGCTGCTGCTGATCGAGGTCACTTTGCTCAGCATCTTCTGTACGTTGTGTCCATACATAGTAATACGCCCCGGGTTTGAAGGGGTTATGGCATGTGCCGCAGCGTTTCTCCGCACATAACACTTGAACAGGCCTCAGTTCCCCGCAGTGGCAAGAACCCTCCCGCCAGCTGTACTTTGTAAGGTGAAGCATTGTGCTTCACTCCGTTCAGATGTAACCTAACTATCCCTATCTCTGATGGAACGTTTCTGGTTTAAATGATAATGGGAGGGGGAGGGAAGGAAGAACTGATACTTGACCAGAAAAGCTTGCAAGAAGTGCAGCCTGTTTCTTGTAAGGCTCCTGTTTCTGCTGATTTTATAGATTGTATTTATTCAAATGCCTAAACCAAAGACTTTCATCTCAGTGAGAACCTTTCTGTGACTAGCAGGAAGCTTTGCTCAGCCTGAACATTCATCTTTTTTTAAAATAACTAGTTACTAATGATTTTCAGTAATTTTTGACCCGAGAGGTGCTCGTGTGGTCTGCACGCAGCATTTCATCTGCTGCTGGCAGATGAACGTGTCTCTTGCTTTGGGCTGAGCTCTGAGGGAGTATTTCAGATACATTATTTGTAGTTCAGTAGAGTCCTTTCAGCCCTCTACTGCCACTAAAATTATTCCTAGCATACCAAGAGCGGTGAGGCCCCTAGCTAAAGGCTGCTTGCTTTCATCCTCCTGAGAACTGTCTCGGGGTCAGTTCTGGTAGAAATTTATCCTTGCAGCACAGATACACTGTGAATGAATTGGTAAGTCAGTGCAAAAAAGCATTCAAGAATTAAATAGCTGTGGAAGGTTACAGATTTTTGGTTTAGAGTAAAAACACTGTGCTAAAAACTTATCCTTATTACTATTTTTATTACTGTTTTTTTTATCCAAAATGTATTTGCAGCCTGTACAGACAGAGAAAGAGAAGAAGAAAAAATCGGATGGCAAAGCCAAAAGGGATGAGGAAAAACTCAAGATTCGTGACTCGTGGAACAACTTTTCCTATTTCCCTGAAATCACCCACATTGTCATCAAGGAGTCTACAGTTAGCATCAACAAGCAGGATAACAAAAGGATGGTAAGAACCATCAACAGGTAGTGACCTCCTCAAGGAACCTTTTCTAACGAGACTCTTCAGTAACAGTTAAATACGGTGTCCTCAGTGCTGCACAGATGCAGAAGGGCTGGGCAGAGGGGCAGCAAGGTTTTTCTAGACAATTTTTTAGCCACTCCATGCAAAAATTGCTGGAATTGAAAACACTCCTGAAACATTTTAAGAGAACTGTAAGAATTCTTGACTAAAACATCCTTTTGTCACAGGAATTAAAGCTGTCCTCGCACGAGGAGGCCCTGTCGTTCGCGTCGCTGATAGACGGGTACTTCAGGCTTACAGCAGATGCCCACCATTACCTCTGCACGGATGTGGCTCCTCCGCTGATCGAGCACAACATAAAGAATGGCTGTCACGGACCCATTTGGTTAGTGAAACGTTTGATTGCAGTTTTTCCACGTGAATAATTCGCCCTCTAGTACTGCTGCATATTGAATCCATTGAAGGCTGACATTTGGAAGGCTGTTAGTTAACAAAAGACTGATGACTTACATAACTTCAACTTGTTTTTTTTCTAATGATTATCATAGAATCACAGAATGATTTGGTTTGGAGGGGACCTTAAAGCCCCCCCAGTCCCACCCCTTGCCATGGGCAGGGACACCTTCCACTAGACCAGGTTGCTCCAAGCCTCATCCAGCCTGGCCTTGGACACTTCCAGGGATGGGGCATCCACAGCTTCTCTGGGCAACCTGTCCCAGTGCTCCCCATCGTCTCCGGGAAGAATTCCTTCCCGATATCTAATCTAAACCTCCCCACTTTGATTTTAAACCCATTACCCCTTGTCCTGTCACTCCCTGCCCTTGTA